GGCGCGGCTCGGCCTGGCGCGGCGCGGTGCCCTGCAGTGTGCCATGCATGCTGCAGCATGGTGCAGTGTGGCATGGTGCCACGCGGCTTGGCATTGCATGGCGCGGCATGGCGTGGTGCAGCACGGCTTGGCACAGCACGGCATGGCATTGCGTGGTGTGTCACGCCTTGGCGCAGCACGCTGCAGCATGGCATGGTGCATGCCCCCTGTTCCCCAACCTGCTTCCCTTGGCCAACCCACTGCATTCCAGCTGGGAGCCCCAGGGACACATGCCCTGCAAGGGCCCCAGGCTGTTGTCCCCGTGTGTCCCATCCCTGGGGCTGTGTCCAGGTGCCGGCCATACCTCAGTGATGAGCGCGTGTCGGGCCAGCAGCAAAGCAGGTCACGCATGGAGACTGACGTGGCCCGGTCACCAAACGTCCCCTCTCTCCTTGTCCCTGCTCTGCTGCTCCAAGCTGCCCAGTGACAGGTCCCTCTGTGGCCTGATCCAGTGGGGAGGAGCAGCGTGGTGGCCTGGGCAGCACTGCGCTCTCTCTGTGTTCTCTCCACGCTCTCATCGCGCTCTCTCCATGTTCTCTCCGTGTTCTCTCCATGTTCTCCCCATGTCCTCCCCGCGCTCTCTCCATGTTCTCTCCGTGTCCTCCCCGCGCTCTCCCCGCGCTCTCGCGGCGCTCGCCCTGCGCAGTCCCGGAGCTGGCAGCCCGCGGCGTCATCCAGCAGGTCTTCCCGCTGCACGAGCAGAGGATCCTCAAGCGGCTCATGAAGTCCTGGGTGCAGGCGGTGTGCGAGGCCCAGCCGCTCGGTAGGCACCGAGCTGGGGGGCACCGGGACCCCGCGGGTGCCGGGGGGTCCCTGTCTCGCTCACGTCCCCGCCGCCCCCCAGACGAGATCTGTGACTACTTCGGCGTGAAGATCGCCATGTACTTTGCCTGGCTGGGCTTCTACACCTCGGCCATGGTGTATCCCGCTGTCTTCGGCTCCATCCTCTACACCTTCACCGAGAGCGACCAGGTGCGGCACCGCCGGGGCAAACGGCCAGGATTTGGGGGTGTTTCCATCCGTCTCTCTGGGTTTTCCCTGCTCTGCTCCTCACTGCAGAGTGGGAGCCACCGCATCCTGAAAGGGCCACCCTGGGGGTGAGGATGGTGCAGATGGGGACGGGGACGGGGATGGGGACGGGGACAGGGACAGGAGGGGCGCGACGCGGCCTCCCCCCGCAGACCAGCCAGGACGTGTGCTGCGTGGTCTTCGCCATCTTCAACGTCATCTGGGCCACGCTGTTCCTGGAGGAGTGGAAGCGCCGGGGCGCCGAGTTCGCCTACAAGTGGGGCACGCTGGACACGCCGGCCGAGTCCATCGAGGAGCCGCGGCCCCAGTTCAGGGTGAGCGCGGGGGGCCCTGGGCCCGCTCTGCCCCACGAGACGCCCCGGCTCGGGGCAGAGAACTGGCCGCTTCGTGACACTCGCTGGGGCAGAGCCACTCTCTGCTGGGGGTGGGGGCTGCGCTTGGGAAGGGGGTGGGACATGAGGGACCCCCCTGTGTCCCCAACCCCACGGGGGGGTCATGCGCCACCGTCCCCCCATTTAGGGCATCAAGAGGATCAGCCCCGTGACGAGCGCCGAGGAGTTTTACTACCCACCCTGGAAGCGGCTGCTCTGCCAGTGCCTGGTGAGCCTCCCTGTCTGACTCTCCTGCCTCTCCTTCGGCTTCCCCATGCTGGGCTGCTTCCAGCTCCAGGTGGGTCTCTGCCTCTGTCCCATCCCACCGCAGGTGGCCGGTGCAGGGGCCGCGGTGACACCGTGTCCCCGCTGTCCCCGTCCCCACAGGAGTTCATTCTGAGCATCCAGGAGCTGCCGCGCGTCCTGCGCTTCCTGCCCAAGATTGTGCTGGCCCTCGTGGTGGCCGCGTGTGACGAGGTCTACAAGAAGATCGCCTGCTGGCTCAATGACATGGGTGCGCGGCGGGACGGGGGCGCCACGGGCCACCCCCCGGCCCTGCTCACCCGGTCCCTTTGCCTTGCAGAAAACTACCGGCTGCAGAGTGCCTACGAGAAACACCTCATCATCAAAATGGTCCTGGTGAGCGGCCGGGGACGCGGGGGACAATGGTGCATTGGGGATACTGGGGACACTGGGAACACTGGGGGCTTTGGGGACATTGGGGATGCCAGGGACACTGTGGGACACCATGGGCATGGGGGGCACCAGGGATGCTTGAGATGCTGGGGGCACTGGGGACATTGGGAGCATTGGGGATGCTGGGGTTCCAGGGACAGCGGGTACAGCAGGGACACCACGATACTGGGGACACTGGGGATGCTGAGGACATTGAGGACACTGGGGGCACCCTTGGCCACCCGTGCTGACACCAGCTCCCTCCCTGGCAGTTCCAGTTTGTAAATTCCTACCTGAGTCTTTTCTACATCGGTTTCTACCTCAAGGACATGGAGCGGCTGAAGGAGGTAATGGGGGGACGGGGACAGGGGACCCCTAGAGCCCCCGCTGCCGCCACCGCTGCTCTTCACGCGTTCTCTCTCTGTCTGTCTCTGTCCGTCCTTCTGTCCCTCTCCACAGCTCCTGCTCATCTTCTCTCTCTCCCAAAGCCTCGTGCGTCAGCTCAAAGAGGCCCTTCTCCCCTTCATCCTCCTCCACCTCCACCTCTCCCTCATCTTCCTTAAGGGCCTCCTGGGCTTTTGCTGGAGACTGGGAGTATCCAAAGTAGGAGCGGGGAGGGTGGTGGTGCTGGTGGGGGGAGAGTAGGGCACACAAGTGCCGCGAGCTGGGGCAAGCTCAGCCCGCGCC